AAGGAACGGGTTAGAATTATAGATGATTAAGATCACCTAATGGGACCAGTTTAGAAGGCACAATGAAACAAAATTATATGAAAAAAATGGAAAAAAATTGGCTAGGAAATTTGGAACTTGTGTAAATATCTAGATTAATTTTTACTCAGCTTCATACTGTAAATATTATACTCTTGTGACATGTGTTAATATGACTCACTGATCTCTCACAAAATTTTTTCTATTGTGGTAAATTGAGGCATGATCAAGAGAATTCTAAATGAAGAACCTGGTTCATCAGTATTGGTTCATCTGAATGCCAAGGTATGTTTTCTATATTCTGCATAATTAGAAATATAAATATTTAAATCATGAGCAGAGTCCTACCACTGTTTAACTCATTAGAAAATCCTATCCGTTTGTTTTTGAACCAGTTCTGTCCTCATTAAGTTCTAACCACAAATATTGCCTAAAATCTAGGAAAGACTAACCGTTCGTTCAACCTGCAATTTCAGGTTGATTAGACCTCTAATTGACCGCTAAAGCTACCGTTATCCATTAAATGAGTCTTTCCCTTTAAATACTCATTATTACTTCCTGTCACCCTCATAATTCAAAACCGTCAAAAACCTTCTTCACTTTCAATTACTTTCTTCTCCAAAGGTTTAACTCACCAATTCTCTCAAGAAATCAGCTATAATGACGAACCCACAAGACAACCCTGGAACTCCTCCACATCCTACTCCCTCTGATTCATCTACCCCTCCTCCACCTAGCACGACTCCCTAACCCAGGCTAAGGAGAGTAAAAATGTTTGCTCGCAAAACGGTGGCATCTGGTGCTCTTTCAAAGAAATTGAATGAGAAATTAAAGGTAAGTCAGGCCCAAGATTCTAATTCCGACTCTGATTCTGAGTCATTCGAATCTACTAGTGAGGGGGAAGGACCTGGGTCTTCTGACTCTGAGAAGACTTAAAATTCCCCTTCTAATGAAAGTTTTTCTTTGACTAAAAATTAAGAGAATAAGTTTGTGTTGGTTGGGCCTATTAGGGATGTGGAATTACCTAAGTTAGGAAGGAGTGGAGGTAAAAAGAAATTTGAAAAAGAAAAGGAGAGAAAGGGTAAATGTGGTGATGTGATGAGAAAAGGGAAAGGAGTGGCTGATTCCTCACCCACTACTGAGTTGCATGTACCTGCTATTTGTGGGGTTGCATAGGAAACTGTTGAAGAAAGTGGCAAGAAGTCAGGGGGAGCGGTTCAGGGGAGGCTGCTAAGGGGCTAGTTAATCTAAGCTCACAGGGAGATGAACTTGGTTTATCAGTTGAAGAGACCCTAACAGACCTTCTGAAAAAGGTAGGTGCAAGTTACGATCCAAAGAAAAGGAGAACTCCCACACTAAAAGCCCCCAGTGCTCCTAAACCTTCCAAGAAACGAAAGGCTTCCTCCCCAACAACTACTGAAACTTCTTTTCCAAAGGGAATAGCCACAAGAAGCAGGGTAAAACAGAGTGAAAGTGACCTACAACAGGCTTTGGCTAAAAATAAGAAGAAGAGGATGGATAAAGGAAAAGGTAAGGTTGCAAAGTCCTCTGAAGCAATTGATGTTGAGGAGATGGAACAGGTTCATCAGGAGGACTATGCAATAATAGAGGTTCAGACCCCCAAGCCCAAAAAGACCAAGACTTATTCCAAGAAGTTTTCCTCTGTGTTTGAGGCTGCTAAACCTTCATTGGCCAAGAGGACAAGGTCTGCAGTAAAAAACAAACAAGTTAGAATTTCTGAAGATGAGGAATGGAGTGGTGAAGAAGAAAATGAGTCTGATGGTGAACAAGACAAGCTGGCCAAGTTTGGAAAAAGGAAAATTTTGAATGGAAGATTGCTGAAAGATTTGGTGGAACCATGAATGGTTCGTTTGGATGACACCTTAGCTGCTCAGGGCTGGAAGGACATGGTCCTTCAGATGGATGGGAGATTGGCCAGAAATGAAACCATTGAATTCATGGCAAATGTTGAAGTCAAAGATGACAGAGTTACAAGCAAAGTCAAAGGAGTTCAAGTGACATTTGATGCAGAGACGCTGGGAGAGATTCTAGACATCCCTGCTGAGGGATATGATGATTACACCAGACAGAGATGACCAAGTCTGGATTCCCTTCCGTCTGCCCTTACAATCACTAGGAGATTCTGTGATGTTGAAGAAGTGAATGAGGCCAAGTTTGTGCAAAAGAGTGAAATGAAGCCACAACACAAAGTCATCTTTGAGTTTGTCAACAAGTGCCTACTGCCCAGGCAGGAGAGAAGGCCTATTGCAAATTATATGGACTTAGTTCTGATGGGGTGACTTGAAAGTGGAAGGCAAATTAACTAGTTTACATTCATCGTCAAGCTGCTGGACAGGGTTATTAATGGCTCCAAGGCTCATGCCACCTTCTATGGCTTTATTCTGACTACGATTCTGGATAGGTGCAATGTGCCTCTGAAGAAATGGTAAATGGCCACAAGCAAGGATTACTTTGGCATTAATACTCTGCATGCTTGTGACTATTTAGTCAATGCCATCCCAAATGAACCTGGTTCATCCAAGAAGACACCTATCAACAGTCAAGTCAGGGCTCTTGTTCAGGAAAGTGAAGCCAAGGATGCTGAGATAGCTAGGCTAAAGGCTCGTTTGGCAGAGGTTGAATCTGAGAGGGATGCTCTCATAACTGAGCTTACCAATGAAAAGGAGAAGAATGATGGGATTCTTCACAATATGCTGAATCTTCTCCAAGCCCAAAACCAACCCTCTAGCTCTCCCAAGCCTTAGGAATTCTAGCCTTTATCTCCTGAACCTGTTTAGTACCTTCAGTGACCCGGATTAGGGATTTTTCTTTCTTTTGCTCATGTTTTGAATATTTTTGCTTTCTGGTTGTGGATTGTGGTAGCAACATATCTTCTATCAATGATATCTACTATTTTTGCTCTTGTTAAATGTTAATATTTCATTCATAGTTTAAATATGTTTGCTCGATTACTGATGATTAATCCATGATTGTACTTTCAAATGCCCCAGAGGCCATGAGTACTTATTAAAATCTGGGACTCACTCTGTGTATGCAACTTTTCGATGATGCCAAAAGGGGGAAGATATATTGTGCTTTACATATTCTGAATAAGTGATATTTATAACCTAATTAACCTGATCCTTGATGATAAGTGAATTTTCTAAACTTTGTATTGATGGTTAAGCTTAGTTCTTACAGGATCCAAGTAAGTGAAAAACACAGAGTTTGTCATCATCAAAAAAAGGGAAATTTGTTGGCCCAAGTACAGGTGAAATTTTGAAGACTGACAAAAGAACTCAAACATGGACCAAGTCCATCTTGTGAAGCACAGTCACGATCAACCCAAACATGTGAGATGCACGTGAAGCAGATAAATCTAACTTATCAGAAGTAATATCTCCTGATCTGATTGAAAAGGTTACATATTGGATAAGGAGAGAAAGACTTCTTACATGAAGAGAACACAATTTAGGAAGAGGATAGTGTTAGAGCATGAGATCAACTAGAACTCTTCTACCATGGAAGAGTAGCATCTGTATCACAGTGAATCTCTAATTACTAACCCATTAAATATCAGTGTTGTTCTCTTTTACAGGCAACACACATAAGCAGAAGTTAAACGTGAATTGAGAGCAAAATAGCCAGGCAATTTTGCAAGCAGTTCGTGTATGATTCAAGCGTGCAAACCTGAAGCTACTTGAACCAGATAGAAGAATCAATTCCAAGTGTCTATCTTTTATTCTAGTTCAATTGTAGTAGGTGATTTTACATTGTATCTTTCAGCTTTTATAGAAGCAATTGTATTAGGTACTTAGAGTGTTCAAGTTAGAGTTAACTTGAAGTTGTCGCAACAGTTGAGGTTGTGTGCTACAACGGGATTAGAGTTAATCCTAGGTTTACCAAAAAGTTTTTATAAATGCAGTTTTTAGCTCAGTGATTTTAGTGGAAGTTTGGGAAAATCCTACTGAGTAGTAAGTCGTGGTTTTTTCACCTTTTGAGCGAGGTGTTTTCCACGTAAAAATCTCTGTGTTCTTTATTTTCTTTACTTATTGTTCCGCAAATAGCAGTAGCTAGAACANAAGTTCAAAAGTTAAGGACATGTAGTCTTGAAGTTAAGTTCAAAAGTTAAGGACATGAGCAGAAGGGTATTTTCGTCCAGGCGGTTAAAATTTATTAAAGCAGTGGCTAAAGACTAAAGATATTTCAAACAGTGGCTTAAAAGTAAATACATGTGTTATTAGTGGCTAACCGTGCACTCCCCGAAAAGTGACCCTATTTTGAATTTCTGTTTATACACGTTCATTTTAGAGTTTAATATCCAACTTAATTTACTTTGTTTGTTCTTGAGATTAGACTTTTAATAGTTTGCAGATGATGAATTCTTTATTACGTTTCTTAGATGAGATATTTCCTTGCTATCAAATTTTGTCTTTAGATTCAAGGGGAAGCAGAAGTAAAAGAATTAATTGAAAGACAAGAGACTTATTTGCTCTATTTTCACATGTTTTATAAGTGTGATTGAAAAGAATGTTGACTCACCTCTCAAATTACAATTTTATGAAATGGGAATTCTCTTAATTGCTTCGATCTGATTCTACTATATCTTAAAGTAACCCCACAAGAATGGTACGAAAAGAGTTTTGAACCAACATTAAGCAAACTAAAACTTTAATTAGAATAAGATTAAAACGATACAACGACATTAGTATTAGTTGTAAGTTGAAAACCAACCTAACAAATCAATTATTCACCAACCACAATAATTTATATATTAATATAAAGCAGGGGAATTGAAATCTGATGTGGCGCTCCCATGTCCCAGCAAATGTATTTATCTAATTTCTCAGTTTTTCATCTTTTTCCTCTAATTTTAATTCAACATATTTTATTATTAAATCTGAATATTAGGTTCAATTACAGCCCCTAATAATAAGGAAACAGAGAAAGCAACAGTTTCAAAATTTTCAGAAGCCAAAAGCTGTATCTGGAAATCCAAAAGTCACCATATTGAAACGCTCCTTTACTGAAAAAAACGCTCCGTCATATTACCAATAAAAGCAACAAAAAGAACCCCAGTTGACGTTCCGCTCTCTCTCCTACAGGTTAGTTATTCTGATACCCACACTGAATTTCATTGAAATCTTAAAACTTTATCGCTAGCTATTTTATCATTGTTGAACATATGATGTTTGTTGTCTAAAATTTGTGGGTTTGTTTGAATATAATCATTTGTTATACCCTATGTTTGTTATTGTTAGGGTTTTGATCTACTAGGAATGAGCGGATATGTCATGAATATAGGTGGAAGAATAATCGTTAGCAGATGCATCTCTCTTTTGGTGAGAACTGAACTAAATTGTGATTTATTTTTTTGACTCAATTTAAATTTTTTCCCCTGAATAATTCGGAAAGATAGCTTTTTTTTTGGTGAGTTTCATAACCATTTCTTCAAAAGTGAGAAAGCACCTTCTCTTAATGGTTTTTTTCATAGCTCAGTTTGTTTTCACATCCTCACAGTCTATGATATATACTCTACAAAATTGTTAAGACTCCTGCTTTTGAAAGTTAAAGTTTTCTCTTGTGATGCAATGCCCATATTAATTATCTATTTCTTTTTATTTATGTCCACCTCATTCGATGTCCGAAAATCTAATTAGTTGAAATGTTGAGAGCTCATGGGCAGACTTTCATTATCTGTCATTTGAACAATATGTGTGTCAATATTTTAACAAAATACGTATTTTTTCTAAGTTATAGTCATTATATAAAAAAAAAGAATTTTGTGGGTGAGATGATATTCTTGTAAAAGCTTCTATTTCTTCTTCTTATTGTACTAATATTCTTAGTTTTTGGCTTTAATGCACTCCATTTAATGTGCGTCTCTTTGGATGTATATTTTCAAAAATACCTAAGTTTGTATTTTCTATATTGGTAATTTCTTTTGTCTGTAGCACCTTGATGCAACTTCGATCCTGTATAGAAATGGATCCCATGCTTGGAGGGTTAGGAAAACTAATGCAATCTGCAATATGGATCTAGAATAATCAGCTTTGTTGGTGTTATTTCTGGCTAAAACCAACATAAGACTATGGGCACAACGTAGATGATCGGGACTAGACAAGTGCATAATGGGTGAGATGGCTAGAAACCGGAGAGTGCAACTTTAATTTCGAGAAATTTTGATGAATGATCGTAAAAGTATTTCATTTGGAAGTAAGTGATGCTTAATGTGAGAAGAGACAACAAAATCAATGGTGAAAGAATTGACTTGTAATGTTGCAAGCTTTCTTTTATTGTTCTTGTGTAAATATATTGAAACTCAGATTACTTTGATCATAGTATTTGAGGACTACAGATTACTACAAGATTGACATCCATAAAAAGTTTCGGGGTGGAATGAAAGGGAAGGAAAAGAACACGGGGATGGTTTTTGCTGCTGGAAAATGAGTATTTTTCTTCGCTGCACACACCTAAAAACTGAAGGCTGCCTTGTGAAAATATGGAGTACGCTATAATTAGGATATTATTATTATTCTAGAAATGTATTCACTGGTTTGTCTTTTTTTTTTTTCCAAAATTAATTACTATTCGATTTCATTTGATTTCTAATTGTAGAATCAGGAACGTAACCAATTCTACATTCTTAAATTCCACTCCCAAATTTCATTTACATTTCAATTATAATCCTCTTAATTTGTTTCTCTTACCTTCCCCGATTGCGTTACAACTTTTCGAATTCACTGTACTGTAACTCCTTTTCGTTCTTCCTAGACTCTATAACTTTATCAGTTTTTATTCATTTTCTTAATTGAGATTGACTATTACAAAGAAAGAAAGAAAAAAAGAGTTTTAGTTTACACTATATTAATTAACAAAATAATAGCACCTTTATTTGTTTAAGAGAGATTGATTTTCTCTTATGAAGAGAATGAACTCACTTAACTCTCTATTGAAAGAAAAGAAAAGTTGAATACTTATACACATATATTGGATGAAAAATTAGATAAAGATATGAAACTCAAAGATATGAAAATTAGATAAAGATTAAGTGTTAAAGGATTAAAACTTAAAGCCTGATCTATTTGAATCTGTATACTAAAAGAAATTTTTAGAACACTTTAGTCGTTTTTAGATTAAGTTATGCCAGTATAAGTTATGTCGGTATAAATTATATTGAGATAAGTTATGCTGTGATTGTTGTTTATTCATTGTTTGGTATATTATATTAAGAATGACAATTGCATAATTTCTAAGAAGAAGATATAAGTTATACTGGTGCTAATTACCCCATCTTCTATAAGGTATAAGTTATCCCAGTGTTAAAATTAGCACCGGGATAACTTATACCTGATTTGATAACCAAACAGAGTATTAAGATGATATTAAATTTTTATATCACCATTATACCTTCTTATACCTCATACCAAACGATTCCTTAATATTTGGATAGTAGAGCTATATTATTTTGGTAAATAAAATGTGGTCTATCAAGACCGCACGAAGCACGGTAAAGTTTACTACTGTGTTATAAAGACAGAGATACTATCAGCAAGACACACAAATAAATTGGAAGAACCTAGTTCCGATAAACTAGGAGCCGTTTTACAAAGAGGATTAATCATAGGACAATCAAGAGGTTCTATTTTTGGACAAATAACACTTGTCCATAATTTATAAGCCATCAAATCCTTCACATCAACATTTTCATATGGGATCAAGAAATAAGGACAAGCAAGAATTGAACCACAAATTTTAACATCACCATTTAATTTTTCTCTACCAGCTCTCATAACCATGTTAAAAACAATATTAGCTCCACCACTTTCTCCAACTATAAATATTTTTAAAATCACCATAATTTGTTAACCACGAATCTTTTCCACTAGCCACCCATTGAAGAGCAGTCCAAGAATCTTCATAAACTGTTGTCTCATCATGTTCTGGTGCTAATCTGTATTCAACAGAAACAGCAATTGAATTGGATTCAGAAACCAAGAGATTAAGGAAACGGTGAAAAATATTAAAGAATGCTGAATTAAGAAGGAGTCCACCACCATGATAAAATACTATGATTGGGAGTTTTTTTTTGGTCAGAAGAAGTTGTGTTTTTAGGTAAATAAAGCCTAGCATAAACGTGAGAAGAGATAGTGATGTCTTTAGAGGAAACACCAGTGTCTGGATCATGATCTGGTGAAGGTGGAACGTAGAATATGTTGTGTAAATGGTAGAAACGTTCAACGTGGCCGTTTTTGTAGACTCGGATATGGGGATAGAGATCAGTGACAATTTCATTATCTTGATCACTAGCCATGGCAATAGAATGAGTAGAAAATTTGTTGAGTATATATATGGCCGTAGAAAGAAATGGATATCCACAAGAAATGAATTCACAGGAAAATGACACCAAGGTATCTTTTACTTGCAATTGGAAATAGGGAAGAGGCCATCTATTTTTATAGGGAGGAAACCCGGTATACTTTTTTACATTAAATATATGGTTTGAAATGTTTGAGTAATTAAAAAATAAAAAATCACTTATTATCTTTTTGCAAATTTATATTTACTTTTTAATTAGTGGAGCTTTAAATAAGTAAAACATGTAGATAAAGATTTATAAAAGTTAGTTTAGACAAATGCTTTTGATTAAAGTTATTAAATGTTGTTTAGTCTGTAATTAAAGGACTACGGATAGAGGTGACAAAACCGACACATTTTAGCTATCTGTCGAATCCACTTAATTAGTAGTGTATACAAATGAAACCGGTAAATCGCACCAATTTAATAATTCGAGTCAAATCAAGAAAAAAATTCCGACTATTGTTTGGTGCTGGAAAAAAAAAATTCGACCATATTTGATTTGGTTTGGTTTTAACTAAAAAAAGTCAAACCGAACCAAAGCAATCCGACATAGTATGTATAGAAGTTTCAGATATATTTAATACATAAAAATATTTATTGTAGTGTAGTTTATACATATTTCCTAAGCTTTTTCATTGTTTATCTTTTAACATATTATTTCAAGCTTAGACTTATAATTTTTGGATGCTCCAATAAATTTTATAGTCCATAAATGTTAGGAACTCAAATAAATCCTAAACCAAAATCAAATCAATATTATAAATGAAAATGCTGTAGGATATCTATTTTTTAGTTTTTCCATGGTTTTGATAAAATACATAACTTATTTTTCTTTTAGTGTTTAATCATGTAAATAATAGTACTTATTAGTCGTACTTATTTTAGCAACTTATTAGTAATTTTAAATTATATTTATTTTTATTATGGCTTATTAATAAATTTATTTTATGCAATTTTATTATCTTTATTGTTGAATATTTTAGTACAATGTCATGACACATCTCATACTTATGTTATTTTATTGAAAACACCTTATATAGTTTTGTCTTACTAGGATTAAAGAAATTTTTGGAGCATAAATTCTATGTTTTGTTCTATGAAGACTTTATGGAAAAAATCGAAAAACCCGAAAACCTGAAAAAACCCGAAAAAATTCGAGATTAAAAAAACCCGACTTTTATTAATTTGGTTTGGTCTTTAAATTTAATAACCCGAAATAATTAGTTTTGTTTGATTTGGTAATTAAAAAATCCGAATTAACCCGACCTATGTACACACCTGCTTAAATATAAACTTGAATTATGACCCCGTCTGTTGAATTAATCTAACAGGTTGGATTTGAAATAACCTATCAAGCTATTGGGCCAAACTAATATTAATAAAAATGCAACACAAATTTAAATATATTAAAGTAAATTACGAGATCAGGAATTACTTAACATAAAAGAACTCAAATTGAAATAATTTACTCAACACACATAGAATTTTATATTCTATTTTCAAAAGGCAAAATTAAAAAAATAAGGAGTGAATGATTGAAGTTTGAATTATAATTCATTATTGGAAAATTTTTACATAAGAACAACGGAGCTCCCTACCTTTTAATTTTATAGCCCAAGAAAATCTCACTTTATACCCATTAATTTCAAACTATTTACTCTTTAATGCCCGGATCTAAACTATTTACTACTCCTACCCATGCGCCCCAAATTATTTACCCGTCTTTATTTTATTCCTCTTCTTCTTCTTCCTCATTTTACCTTCCTCCAATTTTTGAAGTTCACGACTGATGGCTTCTCCGGAGGGAGGAGTTGGTTGCAGAGTCGGCTGGGAACAGATTCTTATAACTTTTCCTTTGCCCAAGTCTTATCACCATCAAGAGTCATACCACTAGCAGCTAGACGTATTGGTACAACAGGCACTGTCAAATTGCTTTCAGGGGTAATGATTAATTAGTCTCTCCTTGTAATGACCAACAAATGTCCATAGTATAGTTTTGGATTCTTTAAGATAACCCCCTGTAATTCTTTGATCAATTTTTGAAACAATTTGTAAATTCAAGAAACAATTTTTGAAACTCCATATGAATGAGTTCAAAATGTCAGATCTGAATTTCAACAGTATTTCGTTAGTTATTGTTCTTTGATGTGTAGATTGTACCTTTGATGCTGGTTTTTGGAGATTTATTGTACAAAAATTTAAATCCACCATTGAAGGACCTTGAAGCTTGAAACTCACAACTTGGTTTGCTTGAGTTTTTAATTGTTTTGATCCGAACGTCTATGAGTTTGTTTGAAAAGTTGATTGGAGGTTGTAGCTAAAGTTTTAGTCAATTTGGTGGGGATTTTGTAGTAGATTTTAGAAATTTGGGTTGAAATATAGTTGAACCAGAGAAGAAGACGAATTTTTATTGTATAGTCAAATAGTATACAAATATACCATTTTAGTATACAATTCATTTCAACTATATACCCTATTAGTATAGCTATATACTATATTGGTACCATATGCTAGTTGAATCATTTTTTGGTTGTATTAGCTGCATTTAATTGGTACAATATTTGATTTTCTCTTAATAATAGTAATATAGTACAATATCTTGAAATACCTTATTATATTAATATGTGGTACACTATTTTTTTATTTTCTCTTTATGCATGTGTGTTATATAATGGTAGTATAGTCATATAGTTATCGGGAATTAACTAGTAAAACTGTATACCATGTTGATATAGCTATATGCCATATTGGTATCATATGGTAGTTGAACATTGTTTTGGTTGTTTTAGCTGCATCTTAAGTGAATTCTATTATGGAATTATTTATATGAACATGAGTTGCAATCTGGAATTTTTGTGTGCCGATGGACATAAATTATATGTATTATGTAATAGATTTTATAGTTATAGGCAATTAATGTAACAACTCCATACAACTATATACCCTCTTAGTATACAAAATGAGCAAGTTGTTTTGTGAATATTAGCTTGCAAAACGAGCATGTAATTTTCTCATACTTTTATTGTGTCCTTTAATGTTTTGGTACAGTAGTATAGTCACAGATAGTTGTAGCAATATTCTAGAGAAATCACATGCTCTATTGGTATACATATATACCATATTGGCATCACATGGTACTAGAAGTCTTTTTTGCTACTTATACTTTTGTTGTATTTTTTAATATTTTATTGTCATTTTTATTCTAACTAGTATATATGGAGATTTGGTTGCCGTAGATTATGTTTTCTTT